CCCTTGAGTGTGTCACTCCTGGATGTGGTAGGGTTGTAGTCCAGTGTGGTCGAGTCTAACCACCAGGTGCACTGTCTCTGGGGCCTCCTGGAAGGTGCAAAGTCAGCCTCTGCCAGTGCCTTGCGTAGAGCCACCCAGCATGAGCTACACAGCAAACTGTAGATGGCTGTTACTTGTGCTGGGCTTGGAGGTATCTGGGAGAGGCCAAGCTATGAGCCAGTGCAGGCTGCCACTAGTGCCATGCCTGGGGCCACTTATCAAGCCGTATGGTGAATGCTGCTGCTTGTTTGAGAGATTTTAGGAAAGTCCTAAGCATGAGGCTCGAGAGGCCACTTGCACAGAAAAGCCACTGGAAATGGCCTGGATGAGCTTGCAGTAGGGAGGGGCGGGGCCTCTGGGAATCACTTGGGCGGGCCAAAGTTCTGAGCCAGGAGCTGATGATTCAGATATGGTGCCTGCCTGCCAGCTGTGTGCGGGGAGGACTCGCCAGAGGAGCAATGGCCTCTGCCAGCTCTTCTGCCTGGGAGAAAGCTGCCCCTCCACCTTTTGTCCCAATTTCAGGCAGGTTAGTTCCTCCCCAAGTGTCCCAGGTTCCTTTCAGGCTGCTGCCTGGCTCTGGGGCTCAGAGGGAGCACATCTGAGTCCATGCACAGGCCCTTTAAGAGGAGCTGCCTGGGACTCCCAAAGCCTCCTTGACCCTCAGAGGCAGTCCCCGCTGGTTTCACAGCCCGGAGTTGTGGGGATTTCTCTTCCTGGCCCTGAAGCCCTGGGCTGGGAGCCTGTTGTGGGGCTGGGACCCCTCACTCTTCCGGGAAACCCCCACTGCCAAGATTCCCTCTTGGGTTTCAACCGCAGCACCAGGTTTGGGCCCCCGCCCACGACTCTGTGACTCAGCTTGATCCGCCAGCACCTCCGCCCCTCCTACTGCTCTTGATGTTCCTTCAGTTCCCTGGTTGCAGGGCTTCTGTTCAGCCAGATTTCAGAAGACTGAGTGATGGTGGTTCTGTATTTTAGTTGTAATTTTGATGTGGTTGTGGGAGGCAGCGGGTGCAGCTGTTACCTACACCACCATCTTGTTTCTCTTCTTTTAATGTTCTTGACCAGCCAAAGCTTGTCTCTCTGTAAGTTGCAGTTTCTGTAGATCTGAACCAAAAGTAATTATTTAATCATTCTGGGAGAAAA